GCAGGAAGCAGCAGTCTCCCTCAGACTGATGGCTGGGACAGGAACCAGGACTGTTCCTCTAATCAGCCCATGCTCTGGAATAGCTTTTCATGCATGAACACTCAGCACTTACCTTTTCCCCAGCAATGCTGAGAAACAGGCTGGCCCAATTTGCAAGTTTACACTAGGAGTGCTGCATCATAAAATGCAGATGATTTTAAATAAAGCTACTGAGAAACACCCACTTCAATTGAAGTTTTCACCCTTACTTCTTCCTGCTGTCTGAAATTGGAGAGGAGAACATAACCTGACCACTGTAACACCCCCAAGGGAGAACCTCTTGTTTGTGCTGCCAGAGGCCATGGCACCACTGACCACAGACACTGACTCATTCTAACTGAGGTCATTGTCACCTGTTACATTACTCATTGCACCATGGCTGGGGAGGTCAATGAAACACCAGAGCTTCTCCTCAGTCACAGCCCCTGAAAGTACAGGGCAGAACTGCTCAGCTGCCCAGGAAGGACGTTTGACTCAAGGGGACTCGCAGAGGAAATCACCTGGCTGAAGCACCTCAGGGGAGGAAAGAGGGAGAACTTTGACCTACAGTTCTCTGCTCACACTATAAATACCTCACGTCAGATCAGAACTGAGATGTCTGCTGAAACCAGCAGAGCAAGTACTTCAAATGGACAAGGGACCTGTTTCTGAACACGTCTTTCAGGGTCAGCAGCTTTGCTTTGTGGAAGAGCCTCCGACTTTGTGATCTGTTTCACAGCTTTTTTTACACACTGGAAGAAGCTTCCCTTAAAAAACACCTCCTTATTTGGGCAAAGCCAACAGAAAGAACTGTTTCCTGAGTGAGTGCAGTGCACACACAAAGACATTTTTCCTTAGACCTACATCCCCCTGCTGTAAAATCAGTGACACAGAACCACACCCCAGGGCCTGTGCACTGGGGATATACTGTAAAACAAGTGTTTGGGTCATAGCCTGTGGGTGTCTGACACCCTACAAGGTTTCCTGCACACAAAGTGGATGTTGGGTCCTGATGTGAGCTACACCTGATGCACACACTCTGCTCTGGCCCAAGGAGTGACCTCCTCAGCGAGGGGCACGGCCCTGCTAGGCAGAGGAGGTTACCAGGAGAGAGACTGAGGGTCAGAGATGGAACAAAGGCCCTTCTGGAATGCAGCAATATGCTGTTTAGCAGTAAAGCTATGAGGATTAAAATCAAATACTGAGGCACAGGAATGAGTTCCAGAGAGAGCAGGCAAGGGCAGGACGTGTGTCCTCGTTCTGTCACCCACCTGGATGTCCCGGGCTCGCTCGTAAGACTGATAGGCAATCTTCTCCTCCATGCTGGCCAGCTCCTGTTTTAGATTGAGGATCTCGTTCTGGTGGAGCTCAGTCAGGTCATTTAACTGCTCTTCGAGTCTTTCACATCTAGAAATGACAAAACATGGTACAGTGGCTTTAATGGGAAGAGGACAGAGTGACATCAGTGATAACTGAGCAGGGAGCACCACGGCCTCAGCCTCGGCCAGTACAGTGTCCCCTCCATGGAATGAGTCCTTCTACCAGTAAACTCAGGTGATCCTGTTCCCATCCTGGAGAAAAACACATCATTACATGACAACTGTCAAGTGATGCAAGAAATCAAGGATAGAACTAGAATAGAATTAAGTTATTCCCCAGACTTTTGTGTAAACCCAAGAGTTCCCTTCAAATACCAGAAGCTCTTCAGCATTTTCATCTACACTTGGAAGAGTAACGGGCATAAAAATGACATGTGACTGATGGCTCAGAGAACATGTTTGTGTCTGATCTCTGCATGAGGTCACATGGATCTTTGACTTGTTTTTTTCTTTATCTCCCATGAATGATGCAACTCAGCAAGCAAATGCCATCAACTCAGAAATAAGAAGGACACGTGAATCACTAACCTGCAGGCTTATTTTTCAGTATGCTCCAGGTGAATGGACTGGGAGCAGTCCTGAGGAAAAGGACTGCCCCCCAAAAATGAGTTACTACAATTCTGAGAGATAATTTTGCTCCTTGTTGATGGAGTTTTAACTCTACTTAAATAATAGCTCCATAATGTTATTTTAGCACTTTGAAAACATATCAGGGATACTCAGCATTTGTCTGCAGCACTTTGTTTTTGGAATTCAAATCCAAATTCACAAGCAGCTCATGCCTCAACAGCCTTTCAAAAAAAGCAAAGTGTTTCTCTTCCTTCCAAGAGGTAACCCTACACAGAGAGCTAGGCCACAGCCAAGTGAGACCACCCACACCATCCTGTCCCTCTGGGCTCTGGTGGTAATGAAGGTGTGGGCACAGCTCTGGTGGCCACTGGGCTTTTTCCACTCTTAATTTCCACTGTTTGCTCATTGTAACAGGCAGAAAAAGCTTACCACAGAGCCCTTATCATCTGAACCTTGACACTGATAACCGAGAGATTTCTAGGGAATTAACCACTGAGATAACTCCTTGTTTAAATTTCACTTTCCTTCTGACTCCACCTGATTTTAATTCATACAAACACAGATAAAATGAATCGACAATATTTATCTAGAACTAAGAATTTAAATGCAAGACACAATTCTTGCTTCTGGTTGGTCAGGTTTTATCACTCTTTTTTTTTTTTTTTTGGCGGTGCTTCACAAGCTAAATATTCAGAGTCTGTAGGCAAAAACTAGCCCTTAAAAACAGTCTTGGGGTTTTGTTTTTAACAGACAAGTCTGAAGGGAATTTATGTTCCCAATGCAATCCTGCTCTAAACTAAGGAGAAGTCAGACACAGCCTGACAACCCCCAGCAGTAAAACACAAGTGGTCAAGCAGCAGTGAGAGCAAGAGAACTGCCAGGCAACACAGCTCAGCCCAGAAAGGAGCCACGAGAGCTGTGCAACCAGTGCTGGGACACACTGGGGAACTGGTTTCCCAAGGCTGACAAGGGAATGGCCATGTGAGGACTGCCTAATGAAGAAGGAGCCCAGATAATTAAAACTGCCATTCATTCCCACACAACTTCAAAACAACAACTTGACAACAACCAAGAAATCACAACTGAATCCACTCCAAGTCCCAAAGGCAGCGGCAATTACTTGAAATCTATTCAGTTTGTTAATACATGACAAAATTCTCTAGTGGGTTTATTACACAAAAAGGGACTTAAGCTTTTCTGGAAACAACATGATTGTGCCTTTTAACCTTCTCTCACTAAATGCCCTTCACAAAGCAGCTGTCATGAGGGCTAAGATGATACACATCCCTCTAATGCAACTTGGCAGCAGTGCCCTGAATAACCAAATCCCACTTTATTTCAGGTATGGAAAACTCCTCTTTGGAGTCCAAGAATTATTTTTTCACCAGTTAAAAAGTGAAATTTCTCCTTAAAATTACCAGCCTCTACATGAAAAGCTCCAGCACAGGAACTTTTCTGTGCAGCAAACCAATGTGGCCTGTCACAAGTGCTGCAGAGACCAGTAGAGCTGTTCCTGTGGGCACAGCACACTGCTGGGCTGCTTGGCTCATGGGTGGGATGTGGGAATACTTTGGTTTTGAGATTCCTAAATCAGAGGGTTGGTCTGAAAAAGGTCCAGAAACACAGTTATGACCATCTCATTTTTTTTTAAGAGCTTTAAAGGCATTTGAAAGGAATAGCTGGAAAATACACAGCTAATACAATGCACGGCAAGGAGAGATGTGACAAAAACTTATTTATCTGCACTCAGTGCTCTGGTGAGTAAAGAAACTGACCAAACTGATGCTACAAAGACCTCTGTGGGACACTGGAGTTAAACACTTAGTCTTCACACCTCTCTCAAGATGGACTTTATTTTTATAGCTATGTCATACAAACTTTCATGTGATCTTAATTTGTCATGAACTTGTTTATTTGTAATATACTCCAAGTCTTGTACCTAGAGGATACATGAGGGACAGAACTTGCCCCTGAGCTGCTCTTGGTGCCCACATCCCTGTACTTCCAGCTCCAAGCCTCTCTGGGACAGCTTAGCCAGGACATTTCTGTGCCTTCCTGGCTGGGTGAGCACCTGCCTGGCCCAGCATGCTGCCTCCACCACCCAACCATGTTCCAGAACAGCCTTGTCAACCCTCCCAGACCTCAGAGCTTCAGCTCATTTGATATGTTTTAGAACACATCATAAGAACAGACTGCAGTCTGACAATTAGATTACATCAAAATCAGACAAATGGAAGCACCAGTGACTAGTGTTTTGGCTGATGGATTTCTCCTGACAGCAGCACGAGAGACCTAAATGCCCTTTCCAGGGATGTCAGGCTTGGGAAGAAACCCAAACCCTTGGACTGGCCACACTCCAAATCTATGAGCTCATGATTTCACCATGTACAAACAGGTTCCTG